ACAATATATTGAAGTAATGCGCTCAAATCGAATGTAGTATGCTTTTCAATCATCCGTAGTTATCGATACACTGAACGCCATTATATGATACCAAAGAGCATCTTTCTTTACTCCGTATACAGTTAACACTAAAGATATTATTATTATCTATCCCTTGGGTTCCTAGTCGAACACAGGACTTCAATAGCACATCTCCATTTAACTCTCTTCTCTGCAGTCTTTTTAACCTGGCCCCACGATTACCCAAAAGCTTTAATTTCTTCTCACATGATCTCCTCCATGTCAACCTTGCCTCAGACAGCAAACTCGTCGTTTCCCCTTTGGATTCAACTCGATGAACTGGCCTGACGCGTGATGTCTCTGAATGGTTTTCTCAGTGTATGACCGATCCAATCCATCTCCACCTTCTTCTTGGTTGGTTAGTCGCCAGGTCAGAGTGAGTTCCTTCTTGCTTACTCTTAATTATTCTGGCCATCTGATCTTCAGTACTGAGCGTAGGCATCTGTTGATCATGTATGTTTGGTGTTTGCTGGAAATGCTTTTCGTGACGCGCTAAGTTTCTGAACCATGTAGAAGCACTGGTTTGACGTTGGTGTTGAAAATCCTTATTTGTTCTTTGTGCTGAGTGCAGCAGATCTCTACACTGGTTTCAGATTAGTGAAGGCCTGTCTCACTGTCTTTCCCATCGTGGCTTTGACGTCCTCATCTGTGCCGCTGCCTGTAGTTGAGAGGATGCTTGCTAGGTAGGTGGGTAGGTGAAAGGGGCTACTTCCTTTAGGTTTCTCCTGTTGATGGTGATTGGTGCTTGTTGTTGTCTGTCTTCATAATAACTTCTGCACATATATCTCAAAGTTAATGCCCAATGGATGATGGATAGGTAATATCAACGTAGAACCTCCCGTAGTAGTCCATTCATTCAAGTTATCACACTCTACAACAGCATGCAAGAAACAACTGTCATAAAATGAGTCATTTCAAAGTAGACAAAAGTGTTTTGGAAAAGAAGGAATTTGAAACAACTTACCTAGTGTGGGCATTCAAAAATTAACAACCACACGAGCGCTTCCAGAAATATACAAAACTAAATCAACCATAAACTACCCCTCTCACCTTTTTATGTTTCCATGATCAATGAATATCGGATTATTATTCAGTTCGTTGGTTTGTATGGAATTTAAATAGAGTTCACGTTAGGAATTGATAGTAATCAGAGAATTTTCGACAAACAGTAAAGTCCTGAAGAGCTGTACTGTTTTAGATTGGTTGCTGTCGACAAAATAAGAAGTTTTCGACAAAAATTAGTAACTAGAAGAAGTGAATATCTTATGAAACTCCGAAGATAACCATTGTGCATTACTTGGAACAGAGAACTACCAGATTATTTTGCCTTAAACAGCCAATTGGTAAGAGGTTTTCATTGGCTAGTGGCATTTACCCGTCATTCAAACTAAATCTGTGATTAAGTTTACCTATGGTTTTCTTTGCAATAATGCTAAACTCAGTTAGAAAACCTTTAAAATTTTACTTGACGTTACGGAATGTCGTTACAAAATATTCTTTACAGTAGGGGAAATTTTGAAAAAGTCGTATACGAAAGGGAATACTAAATGACAATCGTGCTACTTCAGGAATTAGCAAATGTTGGATAACGCAGATCACTGAATTTCAAATAATCGATCAAATAGCTAGGTGCTTTCCATCAGATCTGATTATGCTCGTTTTAACCATGTATGTAGTAGTGAGTTCATGTAGATGTAATTTTTAAAATTAATTTGAAATAACTCCCCAGTATTCTCTAGTTTTCAACGGTTTTCTAACTGACTTCGTTCCACGATGAAATCCTTGAACAAAGATAATATCGTAAATCTTAGCTGGTTAAATATACGAAAGATATGAATCCCTATTGCTTATTATTCAAGAGTAACGACAAAATTATGGCGAAAATAACGTCTTAGATTAAAAGTTCAACTGCAGACTTTACAAACAGATAAACAAAGAGAATCAACGTAGAAACTTCGTACAGAAGTCTATCCACTCAAGTTACCACACTTCATAGTAGCATGCAAAGGACTAATTGGTGGAAAAGGACTGATATCAAAAGTGCACAAAGGTGTATGGGAGGAGAGTGAATCTGAAAATGGTTATAGCAAATGTTCAAGCTTCACAATACTTCAAAGAGTGGATACATTTACTCCATCGTGACCAATTTTCAGCCATTTTACCGAGGGTCTCCAAACATTGATATCTATGGTCTTGGGGACCTCAGTCAGGTAGCCTACACTTCTCTACATGTCTAAGACCAACAGTTAGAAACTTCAAGGATTGGTACCATGTCTTAGTCTTCCTACCTCGAAACTTCTTCTAATCTAATCCAACTTCTGGTAGTATAGCAAATCGAGGTAGGCGGTGACTCAGTATGCACAACATACATATCCAGTGTTTATGAAGTTCAAGTTCATCACTTACAGTGACCCATCTAGTGCAACTTCTAGCAGAATGTCTATCTCTCTCAGAATCAAGTCCAGATAACTTTAAGATTATCATAGTCTTGGCTGCATTTTGAAGCCAGTGATGAATTTCTGACTATTAATAGGAAGCATTGTTACTATCTATAACACAGTATTGATTTCTAGAGCATGCAGTATAGAGACACAGTGAAACCAGAAATAATCACTACAATAAATCGTTTAAATAAATAGGTCATTTATATTTTCATTATTCTGACTAGCTTCCATAGCTTTCATCGACAGATCGATATATAAGCAAGGAGAAATAGCTGAAGCGGCGTTTCAGTAGGATTATGAACAGTGGTTTTTATAATATCAGCGTAGTAATCTATCAACTGCATTACGAAATTCAATTATCATGCATCAAATTCAACTCAATCATAAAGTGTTTTGCTTTGTATTCATGTGAAAGAAGCATATACCTTTTTGTACTTTGATAAGTTAGTTTTTCAGTCAAGATTTCTTGACATGATCTTCATTAGTACGTGTAAAGTGAAACTTAACAAAGGTGAACAGCTGGTTTATGGAATTAAGTATCAGGCTGATTTACCAAAGGCTTCTGTTCAACACTACTATGAATTCAGTTTATTTTCAGCTTCTACCTCTATCTTCCATAACGACAGTACACTCATTAGGAGGAATGAACATCTTGCTGATAAGTCCTAATTAGGACGAAATGCACTTCTGAGACCTCATTTCTAGTAATTGTACATCGTTAAAATATTGAAAGTAGTTTAATACACTCTGTTTAAACTAATCAAAACACGCGGAGAACAAATGAGTTGTATGTACATACAATAAATACGACACAAAACTAAACCTTTTATATTGTCAAGACAAGCAATTAGTCATTTATTTTTTCCTGAGCATATCTAGCAAGAACAATTCTTATACTCGTATACACAGTGAAATCAAATTGAACAAGTTGTAATCTTTCATAAGACAATGAAAAAAAAACAGGACGTAATAATGATTTCATCGAGTAATTCATTACTTCAGTTGGGTTTAGGTTAATCTATAGTTAAATTACCAGATAAAATATGAGAGAAACCTATTCCATACTGTTTAGTTCTAACTAAGTACTAGTTAATCCCATCAAGCAAAAAGCCTATGCCTAGTTTTTTTTTTACTGATTACCTTCAACGACTTAACATCAAGTATTACTACTCGTATGAAACACTTCAGTAGGCTACAGTCGAATAGCATAAAGCGTAAAACCAGTATACACAATAAGGTCAGAAAAATCTTAAGAAATTGTATAAAATTAAAGGTGATAATTTTTGGAATTATTAACACAGAAGACTAGATATGACTAAAAGAGCGAATTCTCCTACTGGGCGATGATTGGAGGTGAAGTGAAAATTTAGACTGCGGCCATATTCGAACCATCGAGCACCGGGTTTCCAGCCTAATACTCTGTCAACTGGACCTCATAGCTCAGTTGGTAGAGCATCGGGCCGGAAACCCAGTGATCGCTGGTTCGAATATGGCCGCGGTCCAATTTTTCATTTTACTTTTGATCATCACCCACCATAAATACTAGTCTGACAAACCATGCACGGCTATCTGAGGTAGTCAAAATGGTAAGGAAATTTTCAATGGTTTTTCAGTGGTTAAAGAGGGTAAATGATATAATGCGAAATCATCAGTATCCACCCATATGTATCCATGATTCGCCTTACTCTATCTAAATACTGGAAAGCTTAACACTTATCAATTACGCTGATGTCATTCTTCTAGCTTATTCTAAGATACTCAAAATTCTGTTAGTTTTCATTGTATACGTAGTTAAATAAGAATCCACATAATTTAATGTTGGTATTTCAAGCTTTTGTGTCTCATACTGTTCATATTTTGCATGTTCAGATAAAAGTGAAAGGTTAAATGAATGTCTGGCTTAAACCTTGACTGATTTAATCTTAAGGTATCATTTCGAAACAAGAAGGAAAAGAACAAGGAAATCTGAGCTACTGACAGAATACGAATCAGATAACCTGGATAAGTTTATTCAACAGTCATTGGTTTCACAGTGTTTCAACATCTCAGTATGGCTGTTTTCATCTTTTTTCAACCTAATAAGATAAATATTAATTTGAGTAGTCGGCTGTATAGATGATATAGGATGGTGAATTCCATACCAATGACTTTCCCTGTAACTTTAAGCAATGTATAAGTTAACAAAAGTTCATCATCTTACATTCGACAAGTATAAAATACTATAGAACAGAATTAAGTTGACTAGAAAGGAAGCTTTTCTGAAAGGGTCAAAGGTAATCAAGGTCACTTTAATTAGTGTACATCAAACATCAAAGTTGAAAGCCGATTTTAACAGTGCGATTCCATGAAGATTACCGGTAAGTTGAGGATAATTATCCATACAGTGAGATACCAGGTTCATTCTTGTTATATTTCACATGAAAAGCACGAAATCTCTTATAAAAAAAATAATAAAAACATTTGAAGAAAACTGTGAAAAAAAGAACTACTACTTACATATTTTCACCTTCAAATGAAGCATTTACCGGTGAACATTTAGTAGTATTAGCTGGTAAATTTGTTTTCAGTTGATCAGTTAGTGAAGCCTGAATTAGTGGTTTTCGAAAATTCAATGATGGTAATCTTATCGGTAGTAGACGTGTTCCTGTCAATCCATTTGTTTTATTCGATTTTTCATCTTTATCATGACATTCATTGTCGAAGGAATGAATAACATTCCTTTTTAGTAAATTACTCTCAGATAAATTTAATGATGATTTAACTGGAATTGGGAAAGAAGAATTTGATGAAAATTTATTCAATGATGTATCTGGTATCGAAGTCGTTATTTGACTACTGTTGTTAATTCCAATATGTGGATGCATTGTGACCTATTCAATTAAACAGGTAGAATATGAATAACACACCAAAACGCTAAACGAACAATTTGAACAATAATAATTGAATGCTATTAAAATGGAATCCAAAAAAAAGTTATTAAGAGTTGTCAATAGTGCGACTGGTTTGACGAACAGTTAAACAGTGTATCTCAGACACTAAGAGGAGCGAGAAGATGTGCATATGCCATCTGGACCGATGAAAAGACCCTAGAAGATTTGGATTTCACCCATGATGATTTATGTCTAATATCTTATGTCGCACAAACTCGAAGATCTACAGCCAAAAACTAACAAGTTGGCAGAAGGGGTGATGGAGTGAAGATGGGACTTCAGATGAACGTAGAGAAGACAGAGGTGATGAAGATATCCAACAACAACAACAAACACCAATCACCATCAACAGGAGAAACCTAAAGGAAGTAGCCCCTTTCACCTACCCACCTACCTAGCAAGCATCCTCTCAACTACAGGCAGCGGCACAGATGAAGACGTCAAAGCCACGATGGGAAAGACAACAAGATAGGCCTTCATTAATCTGAAACCAGTGTGGAGATCTACTCCACTCAGCACAAAGAACAAATCCGGATTTTCAACACCAACGTCAAACCAGTGCTTCTACATGGTTCAGAAACTTAGCGCGTCACGAAAAGCATTTCCAACAAACACCAAACATACATGATCAACAGATGCCTACGCTCAATACTGAAGATCAGATGGCCAGAATAATTAAGAGTAAGCAAGAAGGAACTCACTCTGACCTGGCGACTAACCAACCAAGAACCCATTGCCCAACAGATATGCAGAAGAAGGTGGAGATGGATTGGATCGGTCATACACTGAGAAGACCATTTGGGGATATCACGTGCCAGGCCAGGCTATGCCGTCGATCGGAACCCAAATGGGAAACGACCAGCTGGGCGCCCAAGCAAAAGTGACATGGAGGAGATGGTGAGAGGAAGAAATGAAAGCTTATGGGCAGTCGTGGAGCGAGGTTCAAAAGATTGCAGAGAAGAGAGTGACATGGCGTCATGCTACTGAGGCCCTATATTCCATTTGGAACCCAAGCAACAAATAATAAATAATAATAATCAGACACTAAGAGAATAGATAAATTACCTTCTCAAGGTGAAAATCTTTAATAAAGGCATTCAGAAGGTACAAGTATTCGATTGTCGATCTCGTCAATATCTTACTACTATGTAATAATGTGGAGTTCATTTATGAGCCACATAGAGGTTAGATGCAGAGTTAAAGAGGAGAAGGGCAAACCAGACGGCTAGTTATTGTTAAGAACTCAAGCATATGACGTAGTTATGGTGTTCTAATTACATTTAATTACAACCTATGTCAGTGTAATGCTGGATAGAGCTGCATGAAGTTGACGAAAAAAACACAAGAATAACCAGGTAAGGAAATAATGCCAGATCATGAAGCCCGTGTTTATTTATTTACTTAACTGGGGTTCACAAGAAACTAGAGATTAATGGTTGACAAAGCCTGGGTAATCACCACTGCTTACAAATACCCATCCATTTAGGGTAATTTTCGCTTTACATGCTATGATAACTTGTATTAATTTAGAGGTAGAGTAACTCAGTTAGGTGGTTTGCGTGGATTTATTTATTCATCGCGAACTGAAATAAGCTGTAGAACCATAGACAGTATGTGACTCCTCAGCAGTATGAACCCAAGACCTAACTACGGATTGAACCGAAGATCTTGTGGCGAACACATTATCACTGAGCAGCACAGTGGTAACATTCCCAATAGGAAGCTTGATATCTAAGTTGTCTCATATAAAATTACTAATAGGCATTATCTGCATCCGTTAACAAAACTATGTTTTGTTGCATACACAGAAAAGTTATTTCACTGCTGTAATCGCAGCCATACCTGTATAGTGAACCGTCATGGAAATGACCATGGGACGTAGAAAATCATCCATATTTACTGATATGGCATAGTTGCATTTTAATACACACTTCCTTAGTTTCACTCCTATACGACAAAAAAAAAATTTAGTGAAATGCTTGACAGCCAGAGCAAGGAAAATCTGCTCAGATGACTTTCTACAGAGTGAGTTAGAGTGGATTTCGAATTCATTAATGGAAGTACGTTATACTCACAATTTAATAAAAAAGCATATTAAGAGACTGTTGAAAAGACCTGAAGCAGCAACCGCTGGGAAAAAACCACTTTTCATGAGGCTACAATTGAATGGGGATATACTTAGTGAAATTCTATTTCACAGACGGTCGAGAACCATTAAAATAACTTCTTATGCAGTGGACCTATGTCTATCGTTTTCCAGTCGAAGATTTGTTTCGTGTCAAACGAAGGATAAGTTACCTAGCTTCCTCATTTTCATATGTATTTACCAGTTTAATTGCTCCTGTGGAGACATATCGGGTGTATGACTAGGCAACTTAACTAAAGTATTCCTGAACACCTACATTCATGGCTGGATAAAGGATAGGTTAAATCTATAAGAAGCTCTATTTTATCGCATCTAGTTGATACTGATCACACAGCTGATAAGAGGAAAGCTTTCAAAGTGATTTACCGCATACCATCGAACCTTTCCGATGGAGTTTGAATCCAACTTTTATATATAGCTGAGGCTACAGGAATTCGAATAAACAATCCAAAACTCTTCATCCAGAAGAGATTAGTACAGCCTTTATCCCTGCCTTGGCCAAGAAGAACTTAATGATTGACCTTACTTACGAATCTGTTGACAAGAATCTGAAGAAACGAATCACTTCCCAACCTACTACTGTTATTAAGAAAGTTTCAACCATGAATCTAGAATTCAAAGCAAACACCACAGTCAAAGTGCTGAAGAACCGTCTGTCAAAGTTTATCAATGGTAGCCTTTTTGCTGCTAGACTGAGATTCATTTTCTCCTGCTGCCATCTGATTCGACAATGCATGAAGCGTAGGCTACCACTTATGTCCACTTCTATCTCTATCTACAAATTCACGTGCTCCTGTACAGCTGAATATATTGGACGTTGCAAGCGCTTCCTCCGAAAACATGTTGCTAAACACTACCGAGTTCGGCTTATCGAAAGAAACAGAAGAATAAACAATTCATTCACATGTGAACACCCAGTAAACTTGGGTCATTCAACACCTCTAGATTCAACCTGTAAAGTAATTAACAAAGCTAAATTGAACTATCCCAAAGGTCCACGTTTCCACCACTTATGCATGCTGAAGCATTAACTATACATGAACAAAGACCGAAACTTTGCATTCGAAAACGTTTTGTGAAACCACTTTCTCCACATTGGCCTTAACGATTCATTTTGGCTATTTGTCAATTTCATTTCATTTCACTTCACTTTTTGTATATTATGGTTTACTCCTCTTTTATTTTCATCATTATCATCAATTTCCACTTCATTGACAACATTTGACCCATATTTCAATACTTAATATCAATTCATACCTTATTCAGTGACCTACTTTGTATGTTTCAGCTAAATTATCACCGTTTCACAATTCTTTGACAACACTTGTCTCTTATCTCACCACTTGTTATCAATTCGTTGCTTATTTAGTAGCCCATTTTCTATTTCTTCCACTTGAAAAAATACCACCACTTACACCTATTGTATATTTTGTATATTGACTGAGCAACTTTTTAGTGCAATTATCTGTCATTTTACCGAGTAGAAGTACGACTATACAGCTTGATAATGAAGTCATTGAAAAGAAATATTTCTTCGCTGATATTCTTATCGTTGCGGCCTCGTCATGGCAGCTACAAAACCGACTAGATCAGGTGCTGAAACGAATGGAAGATAAGGATTTTCGTCGTCGTCCCGAAAAATGTCTATTCAACTTACATTCATTCAAATATCTGGGATTTACTTTTGATTAACAAGAACAAGGCATGTATCAGCGAAGAAATATTTTCCATGCTTGCGGTCACCGACTAGACCTCGAAAATGTTCACACCATACAGCAAATGCCAGAACCGACTGACGTCCCCTCCCTACGATCATTTTTGGGACTGATTACGTATTATTCAGCATTCTTACCCTCACTGCATGCTGTGAAGATGCTGTTGAATTACCTTCCGGGTAAGAACCAAAGAATGTGCAACGGCCTTCCGTCAGCTGAAGTCTACGTCAGCATCCTACCTTTTGCTGACCCAATATGACCCATAACTACCAATCGTTAAAGACACAGATGCTTTGTCTCATGAAGTTGGGGCTGTAATCCTACATGTCTTCCCAGATGGTAAACAGAAGACCATCATGCATGCTTCCCGAACGCTGTCTACCTACCCCAGAGCGGAAATATAGTCAAATTGAGAAAGAAACCCTGTCCATTGTTTTCGCTACTTACAGACCATAAACCGCTGCTGGCTGTTTTTCGATCCAAAGTCTGGTGTTCCAGTTCACTCTGCAAATCGTCTGCAATGATGGGTCCTAACGTTACTAGGATATGATTTTGACATCTAGTTTCGGCGCACCCAAGAGTTTGGTCAGGCCGACGCCTTGCCCCGTCTTATAAGTCACCGCAGACGACATCCAGACAGCTACAAGCAAGGACAAAACACTACAGCGTGCAATCCAGTTTCTTCTGATCCGATGACCAAAAGAAACGTTCATAGGTGATCTCAAACAGCTACATTATCGCAAAAACTCCCTGTGTATTGTCAACGATTGTTTCATGTTTGGGAACCGAGTCATAGTCCCTACATCACTTCATGACTAAATCCTAAATCGATTTCAGTAGGATCACCGTGGCATCGAACGCATGAAGTTAATTGCTTGCAGCTACGTGCGTTGGCTGCAGATGGATCAACAAAGTACAGACTATCTCAACCGTTGCTCAGAATGTCAACAAGCCGCCAAGCATGCTCCACGAGAATCACACATGCCCTGGTGAGATTCCGAACGCTCGTGGTAGAGCGCTCACGTTGATTTCGCCGGACTCTGCAAATCGTCTGCAATGATGGGTCCTAACGTTACTAG